ATCTCATTTTTTTATACTCTTGTCTGGAACTGATCCGGGTGCAAGTTTTGGCCCCCATCAAGCAGAAAGTGTGCTCAACTTTCATCAGTCCTCTGATGCATGAATAAGATTGTTTCCTTGCAAACTGATGTGGTCTGTTGTTGTCTTCACCTTCAACATTGTTTTCTTAAAAGGAGCCATCCATTCGTTAACTACTGATTTCTATGGGGCATTAGTCCTATCAACTTTTTGTAAGGCATCCATGGTTTCACCATTCTCCTACCCAACTTCCACCATGTTTGATGTCTGATGGGGTTCTTTTCAAACGGATGTCTGATCCTTCCTAGTACCTCAAATTAGATCCTGTTCAGAAATATTATAACAAGTTAACACACCTGTGTTGGTGGGGGGAAAAAAGAAGAAACCCATGGGCATTTTCCTAGGAATTTATTGTAACTGGGGTGGTGCTGTTTACCTTTCAGACTATCAGTTCTGCTTTCAACAGTTCAAACCACTCATCAACTCCCACCTTATACTCTATCCCCGCCACTACTCTGTTAAGGAACCTCTGTCATCTTTACGTCGAAATTCATACCTGGTAGCCTGCTAGTCATTAGGTTCCTCTTCCCACCCTTACCCTCTCCTTCCTTGGGAACCTCTAAAGTCCATTCTCTTTGGTATGTAAGTTGCTGTCTTGGGTTTCATCTCTACAGTAGTGGTCGCATACAATGCTTGCCCTTTTGTAACTGACCAACTTTACTCAGCATAATGCTCTCTCCAGGTCTATCCATATGGTGAGCTACTTGGTGGTTTTGTCTATTTTTCAAGCAATGCACAGCATTCCACTGTATGTTCCAATGCTTCTTTATCCAATATTCTACTGATGGACTTTTGGGCAGTTTCTAACTTCTTGCTATTGTCAACAGTGCTATGATGAACATGGGAGTGCATATGTCTATTTGTGTTATAGCTCTTACTTCTTTTATACTGCTGGATAGTATGTGATTTCTAGTCCCAGTTAAGAGGTAGCACCACATTGCTTTCCACAATGGCTGTACACAACGACAGATTCATCAGCAGTGGGAAGATGTGATCTCTAATCTCTCTATACCTGTTCCAGCATTTGCTGTTTTCTATTTCTTTTTTCCAAAAAAGGGGCTATCATTGTCAGTGTAAGGTGATATTTCATTGTTGTTTTGATTTCTATGCAAATGGGAAATTTGGGAGACAGTGGTTTGGGCAGTTTGTATAAGAATCCAAATCAAATTCAGAGGTCATCACCTTTCCTTCCCCAAAACCTAGCCCTGAGCGTACTCTTTCTTTAACAACAGATGTCGGAAGCACGTGCATGTACTCACACATCATCCCGCATGCATTCCACAGTGTAGGCCATGTGTTCTCTTGTTGCAGTCACACTGAATTAAGATAAATTACAGTGAATTAGCTCAATCTTCAAGTAAGCTTTCTTTATATCTTCTTTGTTAAATCAACCAATTTGGGGAACAGGGTTTTTGTTTTTTTAAGTACAAATAATAGTAAATCAAAACCCCATATACCAAATGAAGTGAACCCCACCCCCAAAGAAATCACGTACACACATTATGGTAACAATATGCCTAACAAAATATTTTCCACCAAAAAATTTTATACCTTTAATTCAGTGACATTATGTCCACCATATTGTGCAGCAATCACAACATATATTCTTAAAACTAAACACAGTACCACAAATTAAGTAAAAAAATCTCTGGGTCCTTCTCAGGCAATTCTTTCTATCCCATTCTAGAGACAACTACTATTATAAATATTATATAGGAATATTTGTTTTTTAAAATGATAAATGAATCTTATCTTAAATTTTCGAAATTAGTTTTTTTCATGAACAAGTTTGTTGCTTTTCACACACTATATGCCCTTTTGGTATTCAGATTTACTTAATTAATTTCTGAATAGTATTTCCATCATATGACTATATTTTATATCCTTTTCCCTAATGATATTTATTAAAATGTCTTCAATCTTTATAAAGTTTAAAAAAATCATTCATACACATGGATTAAAAAACATCCAACTTTTATTAGTATGCCCATTTCCAAATGTAGCATTCTCTGATTCTTTTCTATTCAATTACATCAATTATCCTCTCACCAGCATTGAGTGTTTTCATCTCCTCTATCATTGCCAACGTATGAAATAAGGAATCAGAGGGGTTGGCAGTAGTATCACATTGCTGATTCCAGTGCAGATGAGTGATGTTTGTTTCCTTTTCAGGGATGAGTTTGTTCCTATTCTTTATGGTGATTAGTAAGTTCTCTGCTTGTCCAAATAGAACCCTCTGCATGTTATGGAAATACATACTTCCACTGAGTCAGTAACATGTTCACTTTGCTTAAGACACATAGATGTTCTACATTTTGATGTAGCCAAATTCATTACCCTTTTCCTTTTCAGTGCCTGGGTTCAGAAATTTCCTATCACTAGTAAAATTAAGATATTTTCATTTACAATTGAGTATTTTATTCTAGTGCCTTTACTATTGATTTTCCATTATTTACTTGAACAAACCTTAATTTACCACCCACTGCTTCAATTCCACGGGTTATCTTGAAAGATGAGGCTCCTTTTGTAGTCTTAAAAAGGAAAGAATGATTTTTTAGTAGTTTTTCAATGCCAAAATTTTACTAAATGCTAATTCTAAATTACTATCAAACTGTATTAAAATCTAATGTCTCACTAACATTAGCAGATTCAAAAGGAACTTTACGTATATAGATCCTTTGCAAGCTTAAGAATAACACATGGTTTTGACCAAAAAGCACAAGTATGTATTTTTGTGAAAGTCGATTTAGGTAAAAAGTCTATCAAATGCAAGCTTACCAGATTCATTAGTGTATCCTGAAAGAGACTTGCACAGGGGAACAAGTAATTTTACTTCAGTTTTTATTACTTCCTTTAGACTTCCTTCCTTCTCTATTGATTTTTTAAATGATCAGATGGATCATTTTAAACATTCAGATGGACACGGATTTATTGTGTCTCTGCAGTAAACATCTTGTGTTTTTCATGTTATAACCACCTTCTCTAAATTACCTTAAAAGGGGGATGGTGGTGGTGGAAAGAATACAATGCTTTAAGTATTTCTTTTTCTTAGGACCAAGATTCCCCAGCATTATGCAATATAGCAAGCAAGTGAAGATACTTACCAAGGTGGATGCAAGACGCAGCAAATGAGAGGTTCCCAAATTGCTGGAGTCCTCATATCTACTGCCTGCTTTAATGAATAAGCCAATTCTGGATGCAGGGGCATAGTTTTCCAGGGAAGCAATCACTAACCCATTTGGTAATTTGGTGAACTGTATTTAAGATAAAGCAGAGATGTGATTTGCATTACCAAAGCATAGGAGGCATGTGCTGGTTTCAATACCTGATACATGGGACTAACCTACCTCAAGATCCTGAGGTTTTGGAAGGGCTTCTGTGGGGGCCGCCGAGGCTTTCACTTTGGGAGCAACTTTGAGGGAATAAAATCTCTAAATATAAAAAACAGATTATACATTTTTCTCATAAGAACAAGACTTTACATAAAAGTATTGGATCCTAGTGCGCCCAAACAAGAGTAGGAAAATAAGAGAACAATAACCACTTACTATAAGAGGATTTAACTTAATAACTTGTCGTAGATTTATTAACCCTCCAATTGACCCAAGCTGTTCTGAAACCCACATCAGTTGTAATTTTTAGAACCCTTAAAAATACTGTATGTGCTTCTTTCACTACGTAAAAAATTACTGGTTTCCTTAACCTTCAACAGTCCCCTTAAAGCGTCAATGGAACCTGGTGGCTCAAGGGTAAAGAGCTCAGCTGCTCAAAGGTCAATGGTTCAAACCCACCAGCCATCTGCAGGACACAAATGTAGCAGCCTGCTTCTGTAAAGACTGGCACTCAAATGGCCAGAGTCAATTCTGACTCACAAGGAACCTACAGAACAGGATGGAACTGCCCCTCTAGGTTCCCAAGACTGTAAATCCTTATGGGAGTAGAAAGCCTCATCTTTTTCCTGAGGAGTGACTGGTGATTTCAAACCGTTGACCTGGTGGTGAGCAACCCAACTCTTAAAGTGGTTGCTCTAAATTGGAATCGACTTAATGACAATAGATGGTTTTCTGGCTTTGGGCCAATGATAAAGTGTACAATATCACAAAATTTTGATTATGACTTAGGATTACTAATGGAGATGTTAAAAGGAAATAAAATTTGTTACTAAGCTCAAATGAACTTGATGCTGGATTTTCCTGGGATCCCCATGACAGAATGCTATGCTCCGACTCGGCAGAAGTCCAGAAGGGCATATAGCACATTCGTTGGATATGTTAGTACAGCATCAGTGCTATACTAAGTTGGATACTGGCTCTCATTTGTTGTTTGTATTGCTTTGGAATGATAAATTATGGTTATTTAGAGTTATCAATTAACCCTACTTTTGATCTGAAGCTCTCATTTCTCCCCACGTCAATTTAAAGATATGTAGACCAACAGTTCAAATGTAAGCACTGCCAAGGGAGATTTATGGGCTTATGCCTCAAATATGCCCTTTGTCTTGTTCAAATAAGTTGTAAAGAACTATCCTAGTAATTGTTATGAAGGTGCTGTATTGTTTTAATAACAGAATATGAATAATTTTCATATACAAGTACTATAATTAGAAACAAATGCTGCTTCCATGTGTACTAGAGGTTGTTTACTTTGGTCATCTTTTTTCTATTGGAAGGTGATGATGGGTAAAATGAGAGAGGGAGGTGGGGGTTATGATGTTTGGGGCCAGTATTGGTCTGTCTTCTGAACCATTGGTTTGACTAGGTATGCCATGGCCATTTATGTATCTACAAAACTTTGCCATCAAGTCAACTTCAACTCACAGCAAACCTAAAGGACAAAGTTGAACGGCCCCTGTGGGTTTGCAAGACTAATTCTTTAGAGAGCCTCATCTTTCTCCCATGGAGCAGCTGATGGTTTTGAACAGTGCGTTAAGTAGCCCAATACATAACCGTTATGCACCAGAGCTCTTTTGTAATCTACAGGAAGTCATTATTAAAAATAAGCCAGGGAAATGTTGCTCTCGGGCCTGGTCTTTTTCATTTCACTCCAGTGGGTTTCACAATCTCAGCCCCCCGACTTTGGGAGTTGGATAACTCTTCTTTCGTATTGTGAGATGCTTTCCAGCATCCCTCCTGGGCTCTAGATGCCAAGTGGCACACCTTCACCAAGGTATGATAACCAAAAACGTCTCCAAGTGTCCTCCGGGAGGCACGATCACACACCTAGCTCTAAAGTTCTAAAGTGCTCCTGCCCCACCTTGGATAACCAACGCTCGACAATGACGGGGATTGTCGCTTGAGTTTTCCCCATTGAGTTAAATCTGGATGAGACCCTAAAGAGGCTCCCGCAGGGGCCTTCCACCAAGAGAACATGAAAAACCACATGATACATTGCCAGGAATTGCCACTTTAGTGGCTAAAGAAGTTCCAGGAATTGTGTGTGTGATCAGCACAACACCTGCATTAGCTCATTTCTTCCTCACAACCTTATTCACACGCCCATTTAACGGTTGGAGGTACATGCTCCGTGGCACACCCTATAGCGGAGGCCGAGGCCGACAGGTAAGGTTTGGACTGGCCTCCGGCCCCGTGAAATCTGGTTTCCTCGAGCGCCCAAGGGTGATGACCTTCAGAGGTTTGTCCACCGAGTCGCCTCACCACTGCTCTCTAGCCCCATCCCTCCATTGCAACCTGAAGTCGCTGCCCACAGCACGCGCGCTGGGCCTCCAAGCCCCACACAGCCGGCAGCCAACTTTGCTCGCAGGGTTCAACTGAAGGGCGGACCGATGCCCAAGGTCCGGAGGCACCACATAAAATATTTCCGGTCCGTACGACCTCGCTGACAAACTGTTTCCTAGTTTACCCCCATGCCCGCTGCCAGTGCTCACCGAGAGGGTCGCGGCTTTAGTTAGCAGCTTCATAGCTCAAATCTGCTGTGACCCACGGTCACTGGCAGGTTACCGGAAAGCAAGATGGTGGCGGAAGACGCGGATTTCCCAGCTTCCCCCGCGAACACGTTTTCCCCGCCCCTTTTTGAGAGAGGGCTTCTCTATACGGATTGCACTCGACTGCTCCCCGCAGTTGATTGGACCAGTCCAATCGCTCCAAGACGCGGGTTGGGGAGTCGCAAAATGCGGGGAGTAAATATCGAGGCAACAGTATATTTCAAAGTTCCTGGACCATCTTTTTGGCCTAGTTATCCAATCTGTCATTCTCTGGGAGTACGTCTGCGAGAGACTCACCCCCCCGCCCACCACTTTGGATTCTTCCGATCTGTGGCCGCCAAAGAAACAGCTTCTTTCCCAGGACTCCACGCGCGGCCTCTGGGCTCCGCCTTCTCCGGAACTTCTATCCGGCTCCCTGGAAACGATCTCCGGGGGGAGTGTTCCCCATGAAGTGTTGGGGTTTTTCAGGGGTGTCGCGGCTGGTCTAGTTCGGCCTTTTGAGCTGAGGCCTTGTCCGACGTTTTCGCAGGACTTAGTGCTGCCTCTGAGTTTATATTCTAGGCTGGGGAGAGGTAGAAATCAAAGTAGTAAACCCAAGTTTCCGTGTGAGGACAATAGCAATGTTTTGAGCAGTTGGGGTGTGGGAGTTGAAATCTGCATATCGAGAAAGGGGCGGATGTATAATCTTAAGCCGTGGACCTTGCCCTTTAGCGGCAAAAGGTCTAGCCCCTGACCTTGCTGCTTTGTGTAACACTTAAAGCAACAGCATTAACATCGCCTGGTAATTTGTTAAGAAACGCTATTCGGAGAAAGCCCACTACCCTTCTGTTGGTGGTTAAACTGTGTGGGGCCGGCTACTGAGAGAAGGGATCTACATAAAGTATATACAGTGAACCCTTGCCACTTCTCGCTTCGACTAACGCGGCTTCACTCTATCGCGGTTTTTGCGTAACAGCACCCACTGCCTACACCCGCTCCTTCAGAGGAAAAAGACGGCGACCCACCTGTAGAGTAC